ACGGGCTGGGGGGTAGCTGAACGGCTCTCTCTCTTGCCATAGGATGACCAGGGCCATCTTTTTCCTCTACCCTCCTCTAGTATTGTGGGTTGGAGAAGGAGTGCAATGAGGGGGCCTTTGAAGCACCTCCTAAGCATCTGTAGGCATAGGAAGCTTGGCTCTGGGGATAGAGGAAGGTCCCAGGCCAAGATCCAAGTAGATCTTGATGTGACTGGGAGGCAGCTATGGTGTTGTGGGGAAACCTAGAGTCTCAGGCCTGAGTCTTAGCTTTGACACCCCCTAATGTAATGAGCTTCCTTTGACTGTGGGCTTCTTACATAGCTGGCATGCCACACAGAAGTTCCCTTGGCCTTCAGATGATCCTGTAGGGCAGTCATTCTGTTTGTTTGTTTGAGATGGTAACTCACTCTGTTACCCAGGCTGGAGGGCAGTGGCATGATCTTGGCTCACTGCAGCCTCCGCCTCCCAGGTTCAAGTGAGTCTCTTGCCTCAGCCTCCTAAGTTGCTGGGATTACAGGAGTGTACCATCATGCCCAGCTAATTTTTGTATTTTTAGTAGAGATGGGATTTCGCCATGTTGCCCAAGCTGGTGTTGATCTCCTGACCTCAAGTGATCCCCCTGCCTCAGCCTCCCAAAGTGCTGAGCTGCAAGGCAATCTTCATTCTCCAGATCTAATGTTGGGGAAACTGATGCTCAGAGAGGTCAAGTGACTTGGCTAAGACATCACAGCCAGGATTCAGACTCAAGCTCCTAAACCACGTGACCTTGAACAAGCCATTTCACTGCAGTGTGTGAACCTCCTCCAAGATGAAATGGGCATAACACTCTATCCTGCCTTTTCCTCAGAGCTCTGTGGGAACTCAGATGGGGAGAGAGGCAGAAGTCCATTGTGAGCTGCAAATCCTGCTCACCCAAGAGGAAGTACTTAAGGTACAGGAAGTACTTCCTTTAGTCTTAAGGAAGCAGGGAGAGGGTTGCTGAAATGTGTATTGGGGACTTCCAGGAGTGGGTTTCCTCTTGTCCAGGTTGAGCCAGTGACACAGATCTTAGGCCCCCTGGTGACTTTCTGCCCAGGCAACTTCTCTGTGGTGGTGATGGGGTGTGTGGCCAGGTCATTCAAACTCTCCTGCTGGCTGTACTGTAGGCTGTGGTTTTTGTTTTTGTTTTTTGACACAGTCTGGCTCTATCACCCAGGCTGGAATGCAGCCTCGACCTCCTGGGCTCATGCGATCCTTCCACCTTAGTCTCCCAAGTAGCTGGAATTACAGGCACGTGCCACCACAGCCGGCTAATTATTGTGTTATTTGTAGAGATAGGGTTTCGCCATGTTGCCCAGGCTGGTCTCAAACTCCTGGACTCAAGTGATTCTCCTGCCTCGGACTTCCAAAGTGCTAGAGTTTCTACAGATGTGAGCCACCATGCCCAGCCTGCGGAGGGCTTTCTTCTTCCTATGAAGTCTGAGGGTCCCCTGATGCAAAAGAACAGAAAGCTTGGCTTCACAAAGTTTGACCTAGGAGGAAATGGAAGGGAAAGAGTCCCTTTGTCACTCACAGAGGTAGGAAGTGAACTAATAATAACGATGGCCATCACAGATACTGTCCTCACCATGCCAAAGTTTTGTGTTGCCTTCAGCTACTCTTCATTCAGCCCTTACTGATTGCCAGTCTCCATTCTAAGGGCTCCACGCGACTTAACTCCCCTAACTCTTATGAGTTGTCAATTATCATTATTCCCATTTTACAGATGAGGAAACTGAGGCTCCAAGTGGTTTAAAAAATGAACTTGCCCACGTTGCAGTGCGTTGGTAGGTAAGGGTAGTCTCAGAGTTGGTCAATTTTGCCCTAAAGCTCACGATACTTGCCTTCTTTCCCTTCTCAATGTATTTCTCTGACTGCAGGCTTCATCACACGGCAATGTCATTTAGAGCTTGAAGAGATTGTCAATAAGTGAGGGTGGGCTAAATGTCTCCAGGTTCCTCCCACCATGTCCCATCTGTGATGTGGCCTGCGTCTCTATGCTTGGGCCTAGATAGGACAAGGGAGATTATTTTATTGGGTACATTTTGATTGGAGGAAACAGCACCAGCCTGGGAGTCTTGTGGGAGGGGCAGGGGAGAGCAGGTGCAAGGTTAGCCACCAACAGGCCACGGGGTCTTGTGGAAGTCATGTCCTTCCCAGGGTCTCAGTTTTGTCATCTGTAGAGTGAAGTAAAGAGATCAAGCTTAAAGGTCCCTGGCAGACCTGATGCCCTGTCAGAAAACTGAGTTAGGGTAATTTGCCCAAAGTCCAAAGTCACACAGCTCATTCACAAAGTTGCTAGGGTCAGTCTGGAGCTCTTGTTAGGAGATCACACTGCTTCAAAGAGGAGGCAGATTCCTGCCACGTAGGTTCTCCATAAAGACCACAGGTGGAATGGGAGGCGGGCAGCAGGCAGGAGTGGGGGCAAGGGAGTCTTCTCTCACTGCTCTGAGAGAACAGTCAGCTGTGTGCCTGTGTCCCAGAACAAGGTGCTGGAAGGGGTGGAGCATCCCACCCCACCCCCACCTCCCAGCCTTGGCCCCGCTCCAGGGAAAGGGTGGTGGCCGCATCTTTCAGTTCTGCTTCCTCCAGTCACGGCTGGCTGGGACCTCGCTGCACGCCAGTTATGTTTGGGTTCCTGCAGCCCCTACTCCGCTGTCATGAACAAGCAGCCCCTGTCAGTGCCTCAGGTTGGGCTGGAAAGATAATTCTCTGTGACCTCCGGGGTCTGTGCTGAGCCCCTCGATCGGCAGTGAGAAAATGAGTCTCTGGGCCGGGCGTGGTGGCAGGCGCCTGTAATCCCAGCTACTTGGGAGGTGGAGGCAGGAAAATCACTTGAACCTGGGAAGTGGAGGTTGCAGTGAGCCGAGATTGCACCACTGCACTCCAACCTCGGTGACAGAGTGAGACTCTGTCTCAAAAAAACAAAACAAAAAAAAAGAAAAGAAAAGAAAAGAAAAGGAAAGGGAGCCTCTAGAATGGGGTGACAAGTTGCATGTGTGTTTTCTCATGAGCTTAACCTTCAATTCATTCTCTTCTGGGCCCAGGACAGGGCAGTAGCAGGCTCCCTCAGGTCCTCCAGCTTCAGGGCCAGCTGTCCTCTTACCTCCTCCAGGAAACTCCCTTTGTTTCCTTCTGGCCTTCATCTGCATGCCATGTGTGGTGTGTTGAAAGGTGGACCCCCCAAAAGACATGTCCATGTCAAATCCCTGGAACCTGTCAGTGTGACTTTATTCGGAAAAAGGGTCTTTGCAGATAAAATTAAGGGCCTGGGTGCAGTGGCTCACATCTGTAATCCTGGCACTTTGGGAGTGCTGAAATGGGAGGATCACCTGAGGTCAGGAATTCAAGACCAGCCTGGCCAACATGGCAAAACCTCATTTCTACTAAAAATACAAAAATGTGCTGGGCATGGTGGTGGGCACCTGTAGTCCCAGCTACTCAGGAGGCTGAGGCAAAAGAATCGCTTGAACCCGGGAGGCGGAGGTCGCAGTGAGCCAAGATTGCACCACTGCAGTCCAGCCTGGGTGACAGAGACTCCATCTCAAAAAGAAAAATACAGTTCAATGATCTTTTTGAAATATTCACAGAGTTGTGCGGCCATCTCCCATCCTCACAGTCAATTTCAGAACATTTCATCACCCCCCAAAGAAACTCCATGCTCATCAGCAGTTGTTCCCCGTTTTCTTCCAAAACTGCTCTCTGCCATGCCCTAGGCAACCACTAATATGCTTCCTTTAAAAATAATAATAGTAATAACAGAGATAGGATCTTGCTATGTTGCCCAGGCTGGTCTTAAACACCTGGGCTCACTGTCTCAGCCTCCCAAAGTGCTGGGATTTCAGGCTTGAGCCACCATGCCCCACCCCTTCTACTTTCTGTCTCTATGGATTTGTTAATTCTGGACATTTCAAATCAATAGAATCATACAATATGTGACCCTTTGTGTCTGGCTTCTTCAGTTGGCATTTTTTAAGGTTCATCTACATTGTAGCATATATCAATGCTTTCTCCCTTTAGTGGTGGAATATTTTATTGCATAAATAAGCAATATTTTGTTTGTCCATTCATTTTTTGAAGGATATTTGGGTTGTTTTCATATTTTGGCTATTATGAGTTATGCTTCTATGAACATTCATGTACATGTTTTTGTGTAGATATATCTGGGGTTTTTGTTTTGTTTTATTAATACATAATATTATACATATTTATGGGGTACACTTGATTATTTATTACATGCATAAAATGTGTAATAATCATGTCAGGATATTTGAGGTATCTACATCTGGGATTGTTTAAAGATTAAATGAAATAGCATCAAAAGTATTTAATATGCCCTTCAAAAAATGATGATGAGGAAATCTTAAAATCTGCTCAGATTCCTTCGGTTTACATATTAGGAAACTGAGGCACAGAAAAGAGAAGAGACTCAGTCAAGGCCACCCAAGGCAGTAGAGCACTGCAGTTAAATGCAGGGCCTTTAGCAGGACTGTCTGGGTTCAAATCCTGGTTCCGGTTGGACATGGGTTTCCTTACATAAATCACTTCACCTCTCTGAGCCTCTGTTTTCTCATATGCAAAGCGAGGATAACAATAGTGCCTTCCTTACATGGTTGCTGATACAAGGATTAAATGTGCCAGCTCATGCCTGGCATATGCCTTATAAATCTTAGCTGTTACCATTCGTGGCAGTGCCAAATGCGGGACAGGTCTCCTGACACTCTGGTGTGAGATTGATGGAATCCACACTTCCCAGTTCCCTTTTCTACCTCCTGGTATCTTCTCATGTGGTTATAAGTTCCTTGGAGGAAGGGAATGTGGCTTCCTCTGCCCACCACCCTGAGCATGTAAGAAGTGCTGAATGAGCACTTTTATTCACTCCTCGCATCCCCAGCCCTCACCAGCTGCGAGTTGTTGTAGGTGTCAATCTTCTGCCTCTTTCTAACACCCTGGAAGCTGACTGAGCATGTCTTCCCTCCCAGGCAGCACACAGTGTGCCACCATGGAGTTGGGACCCCTAGAAGGTGGCAGCTACCTGGAACTTCTCAACAGCAATGCTGACCCCCTGCACCTCTATCACTTACATGACCCAATGGACCTGGCTGGAGAAGAAGAGACTGAGTTTCACTCAGGTGGGCCCTCTTCCCTCTGCCCTCTCCCTGTATTCCCCACCCCTCAGCTTGCTGTAGAGATGGCAATCCGGGGAAGTTCCTGCCCCTGTGCTCCCGTCAGCACCAAGGACAGCTCTCGCGTCTGTGGACCGCTTGCTGAAGATGAGGTCCATCTGCCAGCCCTACCCTGCCTCTCCCTCCTTCCCCACCAGCCCTCTTCCCAGAAATTTCCTGCTTCATCCAAGGGACTTTTCCTCCCAGAAACTGACATGGACACCATCAACTGTGACCAGTTCAACAGGCTGTGGCATGACATGGAAGGGGATGAAGAGACCAGGGAGGCTTATGCCAGTATCGGTGAGGAAACGTGAGCCCAGAAAACAATAGTCAAGGGAAAGGGTTCTTTGCTATCACTTGTCAATCTCACCCATTCATCATGAGCCACGGCAGGCCCCTCCCATGGAAATCATGGCAAGAAAGATACAGAGTAACGAGTGGAAGAGGTGGGAGATGGAGGCCAGTGTGGGAAATAGGCCCCTTCACTAATGACCACCAGGCAAACAAAATCTCATGTATATATTCTACACCTCCATTTCTACACCCATTTCTGTTTCTTGCTCTTCTGTCCATCCTTTCTACAAAGCCCACACCGTACACCTCTTTCCCTTTTCCCCCCAGCTCCTTAGCCAAGCTACTTCAGCATTTGTAATAACTAGCATTTACCGGATACTCATAGTATTTTCATTGCTGTCCGTACATTATCATCTGGAATCCTTACAACAACAAAGGAAATGCATATTATTAGTTTCTGTCTTTTACAAATGAGGAAATTGAGGTTTAGAGAGTTGAAACAACCTAACCAAGTTTGCATCAGAGAGAGTAATGTGCAGATCTTAAATTCTAACCTAGATCCTTCTCATTTCAAAGTCTCCATTTTCAACTACAAAAAAAGAAAGTGTCTGGGGTTGGAAGGTTTGCTAAAGCTTAAGCAGAGAAGCTAATGTGCAGCTTTCAGACAAGGGCAGAACTCTTGGGGAGAGGTGGTGGTGGTGTTGCTGTTACTGGTTTGTTTTCTGGGAAAGGGAAATGGGATAGAGAATCCCTTCCCACCAGCATCACCACCATCTCATACAGAGCCTCTGTTGAATTAGAAAACCGTGCCCCTCTTCTGGAGGATGCAGTCCCTACCAGGAAGTAACTGCTTGGCTAGCAAAGTGCAAGCTGGATTCCTGCCCCCATTTTCCCTGTTGGCGAGGGCACCCTTGCACAGTGAACAACCTGCAAAATGGTTCTTAGTGGTGCTCTTCCTGGCAACCCAGGAGCTGCATCATTCAGCACTCCTGTGCTCGATGCAAATGTGGCTAATTTTTCCCCAGGGCACAGTTTACTGAACATCATACAAAAGAAGAAAATGGAGGAAACATAATTGTTCATGTTTCCGAAATTACAGAACTGAGAGCCATCTGACTGCTTCCTTCCTTCCCTGGGAATTTACAAGGGAGAAAGAGAAGTGATTGGGGCAGAGGACAATTGCATTTCTTCACAACTGGAGGCAGTCATTAAGGATTTGGGCATGTCATAGGATTTGGGTTTTTGTCTTTTTCTTAGGGGCATCTCCACAGACAGTGGAAGCTGCCTAAGCAAGTAGCTGAGGCAAGTAGATGAGGCAGTCCAGTTTCTGTTGCTTAGAATAACATGCTGATACTGAGTGATTTATAAAGAAAACAATTATTTCTTAATGGTTCTGGAGGCCGAGAAGTCCAAGGTTAGGGGTGGCATCTGGTGAGGACCTTCTTGCTGTTAGAGACTCTCTGCAGAGTCCCAAGGCAGTGCAGGGCATCATGAGGCAAGAGGTTTCAGTGTGAGTCTCTGTTCCTCTTCTCATAAAACCACTAGTCTTACTCCCATGACAACCCATTAACTTATTAACTTCTTTATTCACTAATTCATGAACAGATTAACCCATTCATGAGGGAAGAGCACCAATCACCTCTTAAAGGCCCCACCTCTCAGTGCTACCACATAGGAGATTACACTTGTACATGAGTTTTGGAGAAGACAAACATTCAAACCATAACAGGCAGAATCACCCAAGTCTGCTCCTGAAGTCTATGGGTGTTCTCCCTGCTTCTAGAAGGTGAAGCCCAGGCCTGGGAAAGTATTCTTTTGCAGCATCCTGAAATATGACCTTAGCTTCCAAATGTGTAAGCTGGAGATAATAAATCACATCCACCATCATGGGAAGGTTGTAAGACTGAATCAGTTACAACGTGAAGCATTTAGAAAAGGAATTTGCACAGAGTAAGCAGTAAGGAAATGTTAGGTACTACCCCACCACCACCATCATCATCACGCCACCATTATCACCATCTTAGGTTTCATCATCTTCATTATGGCCATCGTTCCATTCCTCAGCTCAAAAGCCTTCTATGGCTCCCCATTTCTTATAAAACCAAGTCCTAACTTTCCCTAACATGAAACTTCGACCGCTATCACATTATCTCTGAGGGTTTTCTAAACATACTCTGAACATCTTTCCTCACTCTGTCACTATGACCCAGAAAGCTATCCACATTCTCCTTCTCCCAGACTCTGCCCCATCTTTCAAGCTCTGACTCCAGGATCCTTTCCTCCAGGAAGCCTTCCCTGATTGCCCCATCCCACTATACACTTTTTTCTCTTACCTCATGTCATGATGCCTGTATTCCAAGGGCTCAAAGCCATGTACACCTTTATATAGTTAGCACTATTTATTGAGTGCCTACTGTATACCAGCTACTGTGGTGGATGCTCTAGATGCAGAACCTCTATTCATCATGGGTAGTAGGCATTATTTATTCACCTTACACAGATGAGGAAATGGGGGCCCAGAGTGCTTAAGTAACTAGCCCAGGATTGCACAGCTAGTAGGGCTAGTGGAGAGTAGAGATGGAATTTGAACCCAAATCCCACGGCAACTCTACCACTCTGCCTTGCTCTTCTTTGTAGCAGTGGATAAGTTTTCATGGATACATACCTCACTCTTTCAATTAGATTAAGAACCCCTGAAGCATCCAGGTTCATTCATTTGTTTGATCATTTATTCATTCAACAAACATTTCTTGAGCCCCCACTGTGTGCCAGGCCCAGAGGGTCCCCAACCCAGGGCCTGGCACACAGTAGGCCTTCAGTGAGATCTTGTTGGTTGACTGCACTTTTTCTTGTCTGGGCAGCGGAACTGGACCAGTATGTGTTCCAGGACTCCCAGCTGGAGGACCCAAACAAAGACATTTTCAGTACGTTTGTTGGGGGGTGGGAAGGTCTTGGTTCAGCCTGAATTTCCTGCCTTGTTCCTTCGGGGGTGCCTTCATACCTGACCGCCATTCATCGATGGGCAGCCAGACCCCTCTCCCCAAGGTAGGGACAACAGAGGCTCACCTTGGGCTTCCATTGATTGTGCAAGTTGGTCTCTGGTTTTTCTCAAAGTAGAGCACATAGGACCAGATGAAGTCAGTGACAGTGTGGAGACGCCGGCAGAAGTTGGGCTGAAAAAAAGTCAGAAAAGACGTGAGTGAGCCCCTCCCTGATCCACTCTAGCCTTGCCTGAGACCTGGCCTTTCCTTGACTCCAGGCCTGCTGTGGTTCCAACTCGCTTTCCTCTCTAAGTCCTGTCTCGTTGGGAGGCCCTTTCAAAGCCAACAGGAGGGGCTGGGTGCTGTGGCTCATGCCTGTAATCCCAGCACTTTGGGAGGCTGAGGC